GCGCGAAGGTCGTCCTTGTGGTCGCGTCGCAGTCGCGTCGCCTCCTGTACGAAATATTTGCCCGTCAGCTGCATTGCATGGGCAACCGCGTGGTCGGCCTGGATGTGTGCAATCATGTACACCGTGCTCTCGAGCGCTGCGATGCCCTGCATGTTCCTGAGCGTAGCCCGCATCACCACTGGCATCAGCGCCTGGACCATCTCGATGGACATCTGCTGGTTCTGGAGTTGCGTGAGGTCGCGGCGCTGCAAGCCGTGGGCGTTGCCCGCTGTGTCGAAGACTCGAGCACGTGCGTGCACGACTCCCATGCGGTCCCTGCTGGCGCTGCTGCTGTTGCCGATGACCTGGGGGGCCGCCAGGTGCGGCCGCGGCCGCGGCCGCCGCCGCTGGGGAGAGCCCGTCCTCTCCCGCGCCCGCCGCCGCCTGCCGCCGCTGCGGGCCCGCGGGCAAGGCGGTCCGCCTGGCGGCCGCGGCGGGGGGCGCCGCGCCCGCCGCTCCGACGAGCAGAGGGCCCCGCCTCGCTCCTCGGCGCCGATGTCGAGGGCGCGCTGAGCCGGGTCCATCGTAGCAGACAAAGGTCAGGTGGAGCGGGAGCGCGTGCGTCTCGCAGGTGCCGCTGCAGCTCTGCCAGCGAATCGAAAGGCGCAGTGCGCCTCGAGCCAGGTGGCACACAAGTGATGACGGCCCGGAAGGCTGTCTCAGGGTCCACGCAGAACTGGCAGCGCAGGTCGGGTGGTGGAATCGGCTCGGGCGCATATGAGCTCCCATCACAATTGCACCTACCCCTCCGTAAAGACTGCACCACATGTCGTTTTGCCGTCACCACACTTTTGAAATCCGGCATACAGTAAAGGCATTGATTCGTCACAACCAACATATGTGCAGGTACCCTCTGTTTGTGGGAAGGATGGTGGCATTGGTGAGCCCGTAGGGCCACCGTACTGTAAAAGACTTGCCCACAAATATCGTCGGGCCCTGGTCCAGGAAGCTCACAAGTAAGGGCCTCAGGGGGATCGTCCTCTGGAGCTTGAGTAGGAGGCGCTCGTGGGGGACCTCTGAGGGCAGGAACCTTGCGGAGCTTGTCGGGGTTGAACCTCGTGAGTACCCGAGCAGCAGCATCATTGCGGAAGATATCACGAACCGAATACATGCCCAAGAATTCCGTGCCGCTCTCAAGATGATGGAGCGCCTCAAGGTTAATTTGTATTTGTCGTGCCCAGGGGTTTGCTTTCGGGCTCACTGAACCGTCCTCCAGAAACGTCCCCTCCTCCTGTAGTCCCTTCAGAGTCCCAAAGATAGCAACTAGGGGCTGCCTGCTGTAGTGGGGTAGGAAGCATACCTTTGCCACTGACGAAGTCTTCTCACAAGGAGCCCAGCACGTGTGTCAGTAATGCGTAGTGTTTGCAACACCTTAGCTTCGGGCACGGAGCGGTACTTCGGCCGAGACACTGCGCCTTCGGTGAACACTGGCTTGCGATCCCGCAACACCACTCGAGCGAAAGCGAGCCTTACCGCATCCAACCTTCTTAGGTCATGTTTCCCTGGCAGATGCGACTCTAAGCCAGAGCACGCTGCTGGCAGCACGACCCCCATTGAAGGCCATTCTCTTCAAACGTAGTGAGTGAGCCATCTCCCAAAACCTCCCCATCCTTCTCCATGCCGTCCTCGTCGCATCAATCCGTCGTTGTATCTCAGCCGCACATCCACCCGTCAATTGTTCCATCCCCCCAAGTAGAGACTCTCAGCAGCAGTAGCTCCAGGCACTGGCACCGTGCGCGACAGCAAAGTCCGTGTCGCTGCATACGCGCTTGGGCCTGACATCATTGGCACGCAGATTTCCTTCTCAGGATTTTGCGAGAAACCTCCTCCTTCCTCAAGGGCCCGATCTAAAATCGAGTTGGATTCCAAGAGCCTCGTTTGGGCCTCGATGGGATTGCAGGTCGTCATCGGGATAGTCTGATGAATATCATCGGCGCAGTCTCGAACTGAAATGTCAAAGATTTCGCCCGAGAGGGCACAGGTCATCAGGCTCGCCGCCCGCGCCAGCACTACAGGTTCAGGAGAGCTGCCACGATGCACTTGGTCAGGCTTCGCGGTGAGACGGTCTCGCCATCTTCTACAGGCCTGATAAAACTGCGCGCGAATAACTCACAAGCATTCCCATCCCCCATCCCAGCCCCGTGTCGCGGTTGATAGTATCCCACCTCCGCCCCAGCACTGATCTCCATCACCGCCTCTTCATGTCGCCGGTGAAAGTAAATTCTGTCTTGTAGGGACGGAAACACTTGCAGGAGAGCGCGAGCAAGTTCGGCATGAGCCGTCGAGGGAAACGCATTGGACATATCCTTCTTAACCAGAAGGTGGGGCAAGCCAAGCTTTTTGAGTCTCCAACTGTGGGCCTTTGCCGTCATTTGGGCGCCTTGTCGGGACCTGCGGGGGGCATGCCCATGAGCATGTTCGGGGAGGGGCGACTTCGCATGTCGGACACACAGGGCCCTATACCAGGCTTTTCCAAAAGGACAATCGCAGTGGATGAGTCGCATGGCCTTGGTGCTCCGTTTGAGGTTCCCTTTATTGTTGAAAGGTACGACTCCATTGCCACGTAGAGGGGGCCCGAGACTTCACGCGTACTTGCCGAAACAGAAACATTCGAAGGCGTTCGGCAAACACAGGGCACTGCACATGCATACGTCCCGCCAGGCGCTGCTGCATCCTATCATTGAGGTGGCTAGTGTAGGGCCACTCTCCAGTGAGTTGAAACGAGACGTGCTGCATCAACCAATACCAGAGTTCCGCGGGTGCGGATTGGGTCGGTGAGTACCATCGTCGAGCTGCCCTACGTAGCTGCTGAACCGCCCCCCACCAGTCATCCCAAGCCTTAGACGCGGGGGCCCCATCGAAGTACTCAAGTCCCTCTTCCTTCAATCTCTGAAGCACAGGTTGAGCGGGCTCCGCAGGATCCTCCAAGACCTTCGCTGAGAAACCTCCTTCCCTAGCAGGTGCCTGCATGGTAGCTGTCAATTCTTCCAGGGCCGGTCGGTAGGAGTCGGGGATATTGAACGCACGTTGGCGGGGGCCGCGGCAGCGGGATCCGATCTGATAGATCAAGCGCCGAACACTACTGGTGTCGGAGGCCATGTCATAGTAAGACTCCGCCTCTTCCAAAAGTTGTGCAACACAAAGCAGATCAAGTCGCTTCTTCTCCCTCTTCAGAAAGGCATCGAGGTCACGAAATCTCTGCTGGTCCTCCTCCGAAAAAAGCGTGTTCCGAGCCTTTCTCCGTCTCTCCAGTAGGTCATCCTGTTCAGCACGGTAGTTCTCGGCTGCGGTTGAACGCCTGGGGAGGTCTTCCAGTTCTGGGAGCGCCGCCTGTCGCACATCGTTCACGATGGACTCCCACGCTGCGGTTGGATCAAGTGACTGAGTCTGGCGCTGCCACTGCGCTCTCGTGGACTCCGAGAAGCGCTCCAGCCCCGCGAGGATCTCCACGCCGTCGCCCTTGCGTTGCAGGGGTCGGTGGAGCTGGCCCCTATTCCAACGGGGCTCTCTGTGGAGCGGCTCGGGGGCCTGTAGAACGTACGAGAGGCGCCGCAGCAGGGGGTCATGATCACGGGGACGGCTGTCCGGGATGGCTTGTAGTTCTCTCATGGTTCGACGTAGTACCTCGCGCTGGTGTGTCATGCCAGTGGCGCTTGCGGGCGCGACCAGGTGGCCGGGATTGCCGGTCGAATAAACTCCGAAATATGTCGGGCCTATCTGATGGAAGGAGTCGGCCATTGCCAGGTTCTCCATGCGCAGCATTCTCCAGATGCCCACTGATACCTCACTCTCCAGACCTGTCGCCCCTTGCCCCACGTGATGATCACCAATCGTCGTAGTCGGTAGGGCCTGCCCCACTCTCCTCACTCTGAACTGACAATTCGAACCTATTCCGATCACAGTCATGGAGCGATGGGGGGCCTGCTGCACTGACTTGTGGACCCAGTCGGTAGATCGGGAACAAGTGGCTCTCCAGGGTTCAATTTTCATGTTGCTGGGCGGCGGGTGGTAGGCTACAATCAACGTTACACATCGAACTGGCCGCTGCGGATTATGATGACTCCTCCTCTCCCAGCGATGTCGGTCGGGGCAGGTCGCACTTCGCACACGTGTTGTGGTATGATACGGCGTTTTCTCAGGAAGATGGCGCAACCCGCGCTCGTGTTTGTGTGCCTGCCCCATTTACCCATCCAAAAGGCAACATCCGATGATACTGAAGAGACGTGGTGGTGACTGGCGCCTTCAGTCGCTGTCAACATGTCGCGGCTGGGCACATGATAACATCTGCAAATCGTAGTGAAACGCTGATATATTCCGCCCGCCACACGTCTGAACTATGAAGCGGGTTATAGAGCACAACCGAAAGTGTCTGATCCCACATGCGAAACGAGAAGTAAACAGTGAGGGCAGACATTAGAAGGATGACTGGCAGGATGAATCGAAAGAGCCTCCCCCTGGCTTTGGTAGCGGTTGAGGGAAAGGTCCTTTTTCCGTACATGGCCCGCACGGGCTCGGCTTGGCGCGGCAAGGGTTGGGTCAGAGGAGGGAAAGGTACCCATACCTCTACCCTCCGCCCGTTTTCACTTTTTGGGGCCTCGTGTGAGGCCCTCGTCGCCACCGCTGCATTCGCCTCGAAACCCTGGTCAGAACTCATCCCGAGAGAGGTCTGGGGAGTACATAGCGCTATTGGTACATTTTGGCTTCCCCAGTCGGGGGCAACGATGGCGGGGGATGGGCCTACGGAGGGACGCATCGACCCCCAGTCGCCCACTGATCGCCGACAGGGACCCGATAGCCCCAGCCTGCCCAGGAGCGTGCGGAGTCACGATCGGGGGCCTACAGTCAACCCGCATGGTAAGCATGAGCGACTTTCCAAGGTCACCCTTGCATCCTTCCCTTTAAGCCCATCCTTGGCCGCTCTCGCTGGCCGCGCCCGCTCGCAAAGTGTCGACATGGCCCTCCAAGGCCCTTGCATCCATGCCGTGCGTCCTTACTATACGGGGTGACTGCATCGCCGATCTATCGGCGATGTATCGCCGATTCCTGGTCGGTGTGTCCCCCTCTTATGCCAGTCCCCTCTATCGTTGCCCCTCAGGGTGATGAATCGGTCCAGACCTCCCAGATGGGGTCCGAGTAGATGGGGTCGAAGGATCGCTCCACATCGCAGGTGCATCGACGATGCGCCTCGATGTGCAGCCGAGATTTCTCCACGCCGACGCATCGCCGACGTCGCCGACCTGGAAGGCCTATACGGAGGGACAGGCTGCATCTCATGGCCCCCCTTTCTAGCTCAATACGTCACCTGCCCCCCCCCCCCACCCCCCACCCTGGTCCGCGTGCATGCCTCAGGGCATGGTCTGCGAACGCCCCTGTTGGACGCCCCCCTCCTTGGGCGCCCTCGGCCCAGGACCTCGCGTTCACGGTCTGGGCCCACGCGCGCCTGGAGGCGCCCGACGCGCCGCTCTTCGCGCTCGTGGCCACCGCGGTCCGCGAGGGGGCCGCGGGGTTCACGCCCAAGGCCCTCGGCAACACCGCGTGGGCGTACGCGGGCCTGCTCCTGTGGGACCAGCCCCTGATGGCGGCGATCGCGTCCGCGTCCATTCGCAGGACGCGGCGCAGAAGGGGTCTCTCTGCGAGGTGCTCCTTGTGCCACCCGGCGTCCCCCTGGAGCGAGAGGGGGGGAGGAGGAGGAGGAGGAGGAGGAGGAGGAGGAGGAGGAGGAGAGGAGGAGGAGGAGGAGGAGGAGGAGGAGGAGGAGGAGGAGGGGAAGGAGGAGGAGGAGGGGGGAGAGAGGGGATGCACTTGCTGGGCCCGACCAGGATGCCGGACTTCGGCCCCGACGAGCTGGCGAACATGGCGTCGGTATCCGGCTGCCTGCGGCTAGCCCGGCCGCCACTCTGCCAGCGCAGCGGCGCACCGTGAGGTTGAAGGAGGTAGGGGTCCAAGTTCGATCCAGTCAAGTTCCCTGTCGTGACTGGCGTGGGTCCTGCACGCCTCCTCTTCTTCATCCTCCTCCCCTCTTCCCTCCCTTCCCCTCCTCCTCCCTTCCTCCTCCCTCCCTTCCTCTCTCCCTCCTCTTCCTCTTGCCGTCCTCCTCCTCCTTGGCATGTGGCGAATAAATACGCTGATGACAATACAGAAGAATACGAGCAGGATGATAATAGAATACGTATATGAGACCGTCTACGATGAGCAATACAGCAAGTATGTAATAAGTATACGAGCGTGAGAATATGCAGACCAGTACCGACAAGCAGCCGAATAGTTCAAGCAGCAGGCAAAAAACGCAGCAGCTCAAACTATGGGAAACCACCAGGCAAAGCACATGCAGTAGGCGTACTACTTCTACCTGGAACAGGAGCAGCAGCAGTGTCGTTGTTTTTGTATCCTCGTTTTGCCGCTCGGCGTGGGCCCTCGCACCCCCCCTTTCCCTCCCCCCCTTGAGTGGTTCTTGGCTGCTTTTTGGGCGCCAGTTCCGAACAGGTGGAGCCTCCCCCCATAGGACGCACGGCCCCAAACAGTCGCACTAAGCAGACGTCGGGAGCCCTGGGCCCCCCTTTCCGCCCCCCTTCCGCCCAATGTCGAAACGCCTTGTTACATTTTTGTGTATATAGAAGGAAAAAAACGCCCACAATTGCAGCAATAAAGGGCCAGCAGCGGCAGCAATGGCACAACCAGTACGTCTTCGTAGCGACGACGAGCTCAAATGGCCTCCATGTTGCCCACGTGCCTTCATTGAGATCGACCAGAGTTCAACCAGCACCAGGATTCCAGAAAACAGGAGAAGGATGAGGGATGGGAATCGTAATAAATACGACAGCGGCACCTACACGAAGTGCATAAGGAGGCTTCCCCAACGCAGGTGTCACCAATTCAGGAAACGCATTCAGTCAGCGTGCAGGGGGCTTCCAGATGGCGAATGTCAAAACCAGCCACCGCCAATTCCTACACCAAAGCAGCAGGCTACATCATCGCCAAGATAATGGGACCACTCGCCATCGACGTGGTGCTCCGATGCATATTCAGGCATGTTTGCATCATGTGACGCGCAACACCGAACGCCTCCCATACTCTCCGACACCACGCCCACACACCCACTTCCAGAGCGACAAGAGCTCCATCGTGAACTGGTTCCGTTGGCGGAAATTGGGGACGACGAGGTCAAGGAGGAGCTGAGTGAGGCGCTAGCGAAGGACCCCGAGCCCAACGTGCACGAGCCAGACTACGACCCGATCTACGACGGCACTACCCCAGCAGTCCAAACCGGAGAAACTTCCAGCACATGGTCCGCGGCACCGACCACGAGGACCAGCGGACCATCTCCAAAGGCGAAGGCGCGCATTGACGAAGGAGGGGCAGCAATGACCAGGGAGCGAACCGATGCGCATAGTAAGGCACAGGAAATGGTAATCAATGCATGGAACAGACGGGATTCCGAGCCGCGCGTCCGAACGTCCGAGTCCCAAGAGGACTCGGGCATCAGCGGCCTAGACTGACAGGCGCGGGCGGTCGATAGAAATGGCGCCACCATCGACCGCCCTATGCGCCTGGACGCACGGGCGCCTGCGCAGCATGAGGGTAGAACGCACTTTGCAGCGCGACGCTCGGCGACGCCCTCGACGCCATCAACGACGCCCGAATCCCCGGCACCGACGCCGCGACAAGTACCCATGCGGACGCGGGCCCCGCGGGCGCGAGATCGACAGCGGCACCGACGCCGCGTTCTCAACCCAGCCCCCCTTCCCATATACATCGCAGGAAGGTGCGCGGCGAAGAGGGGCGCTCGCGACTGCCACCTTTACCTGAACAGAGACGCATGCCACCAGCTAGGGCGCGCGCTCGAAAGCACCGTCGACGGCGCGCCGATAGCTGGCCAGGTGCTCCCTCATCAGGCCCTGGACGCAGATGCGTAGCCGACCAGGATCTCCTTGGGGGCACGAGTACGGGCGCCGCCTCTAGTGCGATCGTCGGCCCCGACGGCGACGGCGCCAGAGGGGGCGCCCCATGCCGCGGGCTCGGGGAAGATCCCTCAACGCCAGTGGCCCCGACGACAGTTTCACAAACAAAATCGCCAGCAACGAGCCCGACAGTTCACTCTTCCACGCGCCCACGCAGCACTGCGCCCGATGGGCGACATCGACGCCTAGAACCAGTGGCACGCGAAGCACGCGCCACAACAGGGGCTGGCAAGAGGCGCGACGCATTTTCCAGCGATCTCGACATCCAGCAGTACACCGAGACCTGGGACGACGACCTCTCCATTACCGCCGCAGCAGCTCAAGCCGCGCGAGCCCGACGACCCCAGCGCGCGCCGCGCGGTGGCGGATCGTCGGGCAAGCGCGAAGAACCAGCGGCATGGGCCACGCTTAAATCGACAATGCTCACCGCAGGAGGGTTCGCCCAGGCATATGCACTCGCGCATCCAGCGGGAAGAAATGCAGCGCGACCCCTTGGAAGCGGCGCCCGGGCGAGCAATGGCGCGGGGCACTCAACGGCGGCACGGGCATTGGCGAGGATAGCGCAGCACGAGGAAACTCAAACCATTACCGCACATGCAGATTCAACATTATCGATTGGAGTCGCAGCGGCAGCATGAGCGCCGGAGGAAGACCCAACACTCGCGCGGGAACTGCGAGGACAAGCTCAAGTCGCAGAACGCATGCGCAACGCCAGATGGCATCGCGCGAAGGCGCGCCCACAACGCCCACGGAATGACGCGGTGGATGCGCTTGTTCGGCGCGCCTCAATATGGTTTTCTTCGCGGCCGTCGTGGGGGGCCTCGACTGAGCATGGCTGCGAACGGCCGATTCAAGAGCTCTCGCGCAGCGCCCGCGCATGATTGACGGACACGATGTGTTTCATTGAGCCGGGGTCAACATAGATGGCGGCGTTTTAACCGTCTACGCGAGCACCATCAAGAAGCACGCCGAAGCAGCGCGCAAGCCCGTCGGCTAGATCACCACGCGAAGCACATTCGAATCCACTGGCACATGCCGCATGCCGCAAGCAGACCCGCAGTCCAGCAGACCGCGAGACCGAGATTGCTGGCGGACCTGCGGGCAAAGGAGCAGCGCCGCACGACCGGGGCCCAAGAAGCCAGACTGAGAGATCCAGCGACCGCGAACGTCAGCATCGCAGGGTGCCCGACTTCCCGCGCCTGCAGCACGGCCGGCCCGAACGACAACGGAGGCTGCCAGTTCTTGGTCAACATCGCAGGGCCATGTGCCGAGCTGAACGACGGTGCCCATTTTCTGCATTTCGCGCACAACGATGTCGCGGTCTGCCCCCGCGACCACACCGGGCCATTCGCGAGCGTTGCAGCTGAAGGCTTTCAAGCGCAACCTCTGGCGGCACGCGCGCCTCGCCAACGCGCCGAGGCGCCAGCGCGAGCGGCGCGGCGGGAGAGGTCCACGACATCATCAAGGAGTGGAACGACCCCGCGAGGCCAACCATCGCGCTGGTCGGCGCCAGCGAGACCCTGGGCAGCGCCGCGACAGCCTGTGGGGCCGAGGCGCCCAGAGACAGCGCCACTTGGAGGATAAGCATTGCGAGACATCATGCTCGACGAAGGGTGGGCGGCACCATCCGCGTTCGCGGGCGTCGCGGAACTGCTGGAGACAACATGGGCACGCGCGAGCGGCGCGACCAGGAGGCGCATTGAATGCATTATCATCACACAGGCGTGGGCACGCGCCGTGACAAAGATTGCTGCGGATCACTTGGTAGACCTGGCGATGGCATGCGAGGGCCGCGACGTGACATCGTTGATTTGGGAGGCGAGCGTTGACGGGAATGAAGGCCCAGCCAGATGGGGACGTCGCGAGGTGGGCTTGAATGGCCCCGAAGTCCCAGACAAAATAGTCAACTGCACCATTATGATCAAGCAGATTTCTACGTCGACCTCGGAGGAGGGAGCCGCAGAGCACCGCGAGAGCATGCGCGCGCAGATATGCCAGGCGGCCGTGGCCGCATCTCCACGATAACAACCCGATTGGCGGCAGAACTGGCAGCGTGCCGCGCGGCCCACTGCGCTGTTCTTCGGCCCTAACCGCGCGAGGTGATCCAGAAAGTTGCGTGCGGCGCCGAGAAGGTCATCGCAAACGTCGCGTTCAAGGCATGGAAGCGCCGCGAGCAGGACAACCGCGACATTGATGACGCCGGGGGCGAAGCCTTGCACGCGCCCTGACCATGCAGTCGCAGGATAAACCCAGGCAGCAGAACAACTTCAGCGCATTCGCAACATTAGAAATATGGAAAGAACCGGCACGCCAGTGGGCGCGCAATACGCATGACCGCTACCGTGGCGGAGAAGGGCAACCCCAGGTATCAACGCAGTCTTCGACCCGCTGACCTCCTTGGACATGCTCAACGCGACGACGAAGCGATTCGTCGCAGAAACTTTGCGCTGGCTGAAAAGGTCCTCTGCACTCGACAGGAAGCAGCAAGTTGAAAGTACAGCGAGCTAAACGCAATCCAGATGGGAAAGCAAAGAGCGCTAAACAGTTGACCACACGCTAAGAAGCTTCAAAAGACCAGCCAAGAAGAAAGCGCATAGCAGTCTCAACCAGCCCGTCGCCGCGCTCGACAGGAAAGACGGCGCAGCGGCCGCGCGCGCGCGCGCCAACCACAAGGCAAGCAAGGAGCAGCGCGACGGCCAGCTACTAAGGTCTTGGTGGTCCTCAGAGAAGTGGGGCAGTCTGTCACGTCGAGGATCTGGGAAAGTACTGAGAAAAGACGGCCTATCACCCGAGTCGTTCACAGCAGCGCCTGCCAAGTTCGCCCAGATCATGCACCCACTGGCGGCCGAAATGAGACTGCGGCTGGCTGAACCACGACACTGGGAAGGTGGCTCACTCTTCAGCTTGCGCGCGGCGGGCAAGTCGCCGCACGGCACCAAGCCGGGCCGGGCAATGCTACTCAGC